GGACAGAGACTCCACAAGCTCTCTGGGTAACCTTCACCAGTGTTCAACCACCCTCACAGGGAAGAGTTTTCTTTTAATTAAGAAAACAATAAAGTTTTGTTATGTTCAAGTGGATTTTCCTATGTTTCAGTTTGTGCCTGTTGCCTCTCATCCTGTTACTGGGCACTACTGCAAAGAGTCTGGCCCAACCTTCTTTACACTCTTCCTTCAGATAGTTGTACACATTGATTCGATTCCCCCAGAGCCTTCTCTTCTCCAGGCTGAGCAGTCCCAGCTCTCTCAGCCTCTCCTCATATGAGAGATGCTCCAGTTCCTTACTCATCTCTGTTGCTGGATTTGCTCCAGTAGCTCCATGTCTTTCCTGTACTGGGGAGCCCAGTACTGGACCCAGCAGCGGTCCAGGTGTGGCCTCACCAGAGCTAAGGAGAGGGGAAGGATCACCCCCCTCAACCTGCTGTGAAAGCTCTCCCTAGTGCAGCCCAGGATAGCATTGGCCTTCTTTGCTGTAAGGGTACATTGCTGGCCCATGTCCAACTTGTCCACCAGGACACCTAGGTCCTTCTGTGCAAAGTGGCCTCCAGCCAGTCAGCCCCCAAGCCTGTACTGGTGCATGGGGTTATCCCTGCCCAGGTACAGAGATTTTTGAATTTCCCTTTTCTGAACTTCATAAGGTTCCTCTCTGCCCATTTCTCCAGCCTGTTGAGGCCTCTCTGAGTAGGAGTGCCCTCGACCCTCAACCACTCCTCCTAGTTTTGTATCCTCTGCAGACTTGCCCCTGGCAGAGTGGGGCTGTGAGTAGCTCCCCCGCCCTGCTTCCAGGAACTGGTACATGAACCAGTACATGGTACTCTCCAGTTGGTGGAGAATTGCAGCTGTGCTGAGGGTGACAGTGCTAAGCTGCGGTGGGTAGGGGTGGACACAGGGATGGCATGTCAGTTTGTTGTGATGTCTCAGATTTATGGGACAGCATACTGTGTGAAACAAACTTTATTTTTACAACTGCATTAGATTAAAAAAGCAAACAAGGGGCTAAACTGTTAATTCTCCAGTTATTTAAATCGTTAGTTCACTAATTCGCTAGTTCGATAATTGCTAATTGCAAATTTGTGCACTTATGACCAACATAGTTACCGAATGGACAGTGAGAGCGCTCATCCTTCCTCCTCCATCATGATGCAGGCGTCCGCTGAACTGCATCAGGAAGCATGAGAGTCCCAGCAGCCCAGCTGCTGGTGGTTCTGCTTCAAAGGCTGTTCAGCTGAGCTGCCATATTTGCATCGTTGCTTGGAAGCTATATCTGTACCATCCCTGTTGGTCATTTCAGTTACTGGGAAAGAATTTGCTTAATTCCGCAGAGTTTCGGTCTTATGAGGTGAACCTCCCTGCAGCCGCTTGCCCAAGGTTCCCAGCATTGTCCCCGATATAGCAAGGCAGCCTCAGCCCAGCTGTGCTGGCTCAGAGGTGCTCAGCCCACAGCACAGCCCCAGCCAGGCAGCCTTCCAGCTTCTGGGCCCTGGGCTGTGGGGGCTGTGCAGTCCGCTGGGTGCCTGGGGAGATGTGCGTGAGGCTGGGCTTGGAGGCAGGTCCGCGCTCCGTGGGTGCTGTGCACTGGGCAATGCTGATCCCGTGGGCAGCTGTGCACTTGGCCAGGCTGGGCCCTGGGGTGTTGTACCCCACGGTGCTATGCACTGAGCCATGCTGTGTGCCCAGCGAGGGATGCATTGTGCTGGGCTGGGCTCCAGGGGTACCAGGGCCTGTGGGTGGCACGCCTTGGGCCAGTCTGTGTGCCGGGGGTGCCATGCATTGTGTCGGGTTGGGTGTTGGGGGTGCAATACTGCAGGGGTGCTGTGAGCTGGGCCATGCTATGCCCCAAGGGAAACGTGCATTAGGCAGGGCTAGCCCCCGGGGGCACCATGCATTGGGCCATGCTGTTCCCTGAGTGAGCCAGGCATTGGACCCGGACAGGCCCTAGGGTGCCATGCCCCATAGGTGCTGTGCGCTGGGCCATGCTGTACCCCAGGGGTGCCATGCATTGGGCCGTTCTGGGCCCCAGGGCGCCATGTCCCAGGGGTGTGCATTGGGCCATTCTGGGCCCCAGGGCGCCATGTCCCAGTGGTGCCAAGCATTGAACCATGCTGTGCACTGGTGGAGACATGCTTTGGGCCGGACCAGGCCCCAGGGTGCTGTGCCCCATGGGTGCTGTGCCTTGAGCCCTGTTGTGCCCCAGGGGAGGTGTGCATGGGGCCCAGGTGGGTGCCATGGGTGCCATGCACAGTCTTGGGCTAGGCCCCAGGGTGCCATGCCCCATGGGTACCATGCTTTGAGCCCTGCTGTGCTGTAGAGGAGACAGGCCTTGGCCAGGCTGGGCCCCACGGAGTCATGCCGCATGGGTGACATGCACTGCACCATGCTGTGTCCTGCGGGAGACGTGCCCCGGGCCAGGTTGGGGCCCATAGAGACCATGCCCCGTGGGGGTGCCATACATTCTGCCATCCAGGCTCAGGGGTACCATGCCCCATGGGTGCTGAGCTTTGGACCATGCTGTGGCCCAAGGGAGGTGTACACTAGGCTGATGTAGGCCCCATGGGTGCCATGCAGATTCCTGGGCTAGGCCTCAGGGTGCCGTGCCTCAGGGGTGCTGTGAATTGGGCCATGCTGTGCCCCAGGGGAGATGTGCATTGGGCCAGGCTGTGAGTCCTGAGAGTGCTGTGCATTGGGCCAGGGCAGCCCTGGGGGTGCCATGCGCCACGGGTGCCATGCCCTGGGTCGGTCTGGGTCCCGGGATGCCACGTGCCATGGCTGCTGTGCACTGGACCATGGTGTGCCTCCACTAGTGTTGTGCCCTGGGCCGGGCTTGGTCCCAGGGTGCCAGAGTCCGGGGCTGTGTTTTGGGCCTGCTGGGGCCTGGGTTGGCCAGGGAGGGGGTCACGCCTGGGGCGGCATGGGCAATGCAGCCTCCAAGGGGAGCCACGCGTCACAGGACAGGGCTCGGTGCTTGGGGACCCGAGTCGTGTCGCAGGATGGGGCTCCGGGCGCATGGCCGTCCACGGGCAGTGAGGCAACGGCCCCGCTCTTGGGGCTGCAGTGCTAATGAGAGCCTGTTAGCGAGCAAGCCAAGCCGGCCCAGTGCCCCAGGCATCTGATGAGGGCCTGGGTGCTGATGAGATGAAGGCAGCGTGCCCGCAGAGGGGGAGAGGGGCCGCGGGCACGCTGGGACGTTGAGGCGCTGGGGCTGGAAGGGGCCTGGCAGGCGCCCATAGGGCCCCTGCCCCACGCTGCAGGACCCCCCTCCTGCAGCAGGGTGGCCTCGCCAGGGGCTGCACCATGACCAGGGTGCCCTTTGGGAGGGTGTGGGGCTCACGGGCCCCCTGGGCTGTCCAGCGTGCTGCAGGGCGGGGGGCCCCACGTACCCTGCCCCCAGCACCTGGGAGCTCTCACCCACTGTGCGAGCCCCTGGGGTGCCCATGGCCACGCTGTCCCTGTGGGTGGGTGCCCCAGGGCCGCGCTGTGCCCGGGGGGCCATGTGCCTGCGCTGGCCGGGGCCGGCTCCTCTCCTGGCCCAGGAACGCCCCAGACCCGGGCAGGCTTCACATTGTCTTTATTGTTATCCCCAAAGGTGTCGGTGGTTGGACACCTCTCCGGTACAGGTCTCATTCCCACCTATAATGTAAAAGTGTCCCCCCCTCTCCCCTCCCCCCCGCCCCAAGCCCCCTGCAGGGCTGGG